AACGACCTCGGCCTGGCTAGGAGCGCCGCGGTGGGGACGGGGTCCACTGGCCCGAGAGCCCCCCCCGCAGGCTCTCGGCTCGGAGACACTTGGAGACGCTCAGCTGGACGCCGCTCTCAACATAGCACAGGATGGCCTGAGGGTAGGGGAGGGAGGCAGAAGGAGGCCACAGAGTTAGGAACCGCGGGGTTAGCTGGTAAAGCTGCCCAGGCGAGGCTGGGGGCTGCCTCATTCCAAATGCTCCCTCCTACAAGAAGCCTCCCTGATTTCAACTCCTCCACTAGCTCAGTCCTCAGCTCGCCGCTGAGGCCTCCGATTTATTGCGAAGACATCATTTGGCGTTGCTCACAGGTGGGCTCCGGAAGGGCCGTGCCTCCCCTCTGACACTGGGGGTTCCCCAGGGCAGGGGCCCGGTGAGCTAGCAGGGGTGCTGAGCAGCTGCAGCCTGGGCTCCAGGCCCCCACCCATTTGCAGTTCAGTCCCAGGCCACCAAAAGGCGTGGCGGGGGAGCCCAGGACCACCTGGCAGGGCCCTATCTTCCCCGCTCTCTGGGCTCACACCTGTGCCAGGTCCCTTAGGGTCTGCTGTAGCCCCTCTCCATCCTCTGTCTCCAGGGCCGCCTGCTCCTGTAGCCACAGGGATTCCTGGAGTGCGGTTAGGGAGACAAAGGGTGGTCCAGGTTCTGTCTTATCTCAAACCTCCCTTTCCCTTCCCTCCCTGGCTCACCACTGACCAGGTGGCCTCTGAAGCCATGTCCATAGGCCAGCCACCTGGCCCGAGGGGCAGCAGGCCGGAGGCCCTCACTGAACAGACCAAGCCCAGAGAAGAGCTGTGTCCTGCCCCATGTCACACAGACAATTGGAGGAGAGCCGAACCTAGAACCCAGGCCAGGCCCCACACAGAGGGGTGACCAAACCAGGCCGTACCCTGGGGTAGTGAGTGTCCCACTGGTAGGGGAGGGGGAGTAGCTGGGATGCCAGAGGCAGCATCTGGACCTGGAGAGCGCAAATGGGAGTTCAAGTCCCGACTCTCCTGCTTACTGGCTCTGAGACTGGACAAGCATTTCCCCTCTTGGGCCTCAGTTTCCCCATCTGTGTCATGAGGATTATGCTACAGGGCTGCTGGGGGGAAGAAATGGGATGGAGGAGGTGAGTGTGCTTACCACGAAGACTACACACCTGTGAGACCTGAACCTGAGTGTGAGTGGGACGCTGGGGGTGGCCCAGGCGGCCCAGGCAGCCCAGCCCTAAGCCTGTGTCCATGGATCTGGCCGGTACCCCATCCCACCCTGCCACATCTCAGGGGCAGCTGCGTCTCACCAGGGCCTCAAGCTTCTCGGTGAGGTCCTTGTTGACCTGATCCTTCTCCAGATTCTGCTTCTGAAGACGCTCCACTGCCAGGCCCAGCTCTGTCACTCTGGAGTTGGGGAAGCAACAGAGGTGAATAGGGGACCACCCCTACCTCTCAAATCCACTAGCTCTGTGTCCACCATGCTTCTCCAAACCCGAGGCAGGGACCCTAACATCCACCTCCCTGGCTGTGTGACCTTAGGCAAGTCCCGGCTCCTCTCCAGACCTCACGCTTCTCATCTGTGAAACGGGAATGAGGTTCCCACCAGCTTTATCTCATGGGAAAGCACTTGAGGACGTGTCCAGGTAGCAGAAGCAAGGGGCACAAGTTTTTTTGTTTTATTTTTTTCAGACGGAGTTTTGCTCTGTCATCCAGGCTGGAATACAGTAATGTGATCTTCACTCACTGCAACCTCCACATCCTGGGTTCAAGCGATTCTCCTGTCTCAGCCTCCCTCATAGCTGGGATTATAGACACACACCACCACACCTGGCTAGTTTTTGTATTTTAGTAGAGACAGGGTTTCGCCTGTTGGGCAGGCTGGTCTTGAGCTCCTGACCTCAGGTAATCCCCCCACCTTGGCCTCCCAAAGTGCTGGAATTACAGGTGTGAGCCACCACACCTGGCCACAAGTTCTGTCATCAGAGGCTAAGCTGTTTATGATATA